CAGTTTTATTGTTTTGCATATTGGAATTATTATTATAGTCACTTGGTATACGAGTCAGCTCGATATTGGTTGACCAATCAGAGTTATTTGCAAGTGAAGATGGCACCCGGTAAGTACGCGTCTGATTCACTAAGAATGTTTATTATGGGTTTCTTGGTAAATCTTATTTAATCTAGTTAATTTATTGTATATTTTTTGGTTGAATGATATATGGATTAAGGATAATAGTTTGTTTAAGTGCCAAAAGTAATAATTCTGCTGTTTTATGTGGATAAGGGTTTCTGGTGGGGGTGGTTATCCTTTGGCTCCGAAATTTTAACCTGCTCCTAAAGCTGTCCACGGTGGTCAAGTATTGGCTAAAAGATATATTCAAGAATGTAAAGTTTTTTTTTATTTAACGCATTTATTTTGTTGATTCGTCAAATATAACCTAAAGCATGATTTCTGTAGGATGTGGTTTCCAATAGTTGACCAGTGTTATGTTTTGTGCTGTTTGCTGTGGTCAGCCTTAGGAACGAGGTTTCCTAATGCCTGTCCAGTTAATATATTCGGTATCTATTACTGAAAACAAATTAGTTCAATCAGCCCAGGAAGCATCAACTTCAACACCCACCCTAGAAGCTTGCGTTTGGTCTAATAATGCGGCGCGGATATGACTCCGTCACTCTTTCAAACTACGCCAGGCGCTCCAGTAATTTGGTGTTCATCTACTGCTCCAGGTGGAGAGATTGCAAGTAACGAACAAGGTAGCAACACAGTTTCCCCTTCTAAAAATAAATTAGTCCAGCTTACATCCCAAAAACAAAAACTAATAAGCCCTGCATTTGGTAACCATATTTTGTGGCCATCACACTCTCCAATAAAGAAAAAAAAAACAAAGGAACGCCTGCCACTTGCGGTGACATCAAAATATTTCATTTATTACTTTGAAAAAAAAAATAAGAAAAGCAAAAGAAGTTAGAAGATGTAGAAAATAGAAAAAGAAAGCGAGATGAGAAGAAAACAAGCAAAGGTAAAGTAAAGAAACGAATTCGTTCATTCTCCAGTGACTCAGTAGAGAGTAAAAAATGTGAAGTCGAAGGCATAAAATTAAAAAAGAAACAAAACAAACTCATTATACGGAGTGATAGTGAGTCAGACGGTAACACAACTGATATAATAATAAATAAAGAAAATGAAAACAAACGAATAGAGAAACCCAAATCGAATTCCGAAGACGAAATCTTAAGTGTTTATCAGCTAAGCAAAAAGAAATATGTAAAGGAAACCATGTAATTATTACATATGAGGGAGAATATTTTCCAGGGCTTATTGAAAATGTTGAAAAAGATTTATTTGAAGTAAGCACTATGACTTTTTCCATGGGAAATACGTTTAAATGGCCAGAGAAGCCTGATAAAATCTAGTATCATCAAAAAGATGTAGTGGAAGTAATAAATGCCTCTGTGCTCTCTAATAAAAGAGGTTTTTTATCTAGTAAAGGAAATGGAAAACTACCTACCATTTACTGTTTAAAATATGTTAGATTTTGTTGATCTTCTTTTCAAAGCTTTTATTTATTAAAATTTTAACTATTAAACATTATTTTTCTTGTAAATTTCGTTTTACTTACATATCTCTATATGGTCAACTAATGGTACATTGGCGGTCAGGCATTGGAGTTTGCTGGTCAACTAGTGGCGCATATATGTATATTTTATTTTATGACTTGATATTTTGATAAATGCTTTTAGTAAAAAAATAATCTTTATATCTACAAACATACTAAGGGTTACACAATCATTTACTATATTTAAATTTGAAGTAAGTAATAAACCAAGTCAGCTGTACAACTCATAGTAATAAAAAGCGCTTAACTGGTCAACTATTAGCACTTCAACCCTAGTTATATAATATAAGTGGATAATAATAAGAATATTATATATGATAGGGTTTGGTATTTTTTTTAAATATATATCGAACCTATAAGATGTATATAGAAATTCATATTTATTTTTTAAAGAAGTATACAACGATTTGGCTTGGAAACTGTTTTATTTAATATAAATTAAGATAGATTAAAGTGGCTCACCAAACAAATGTTTACGTGTGAAATATTTTTTTATTCAATTCAAATATTTGATAGAAGCACCCATATGAATTTTTCCCCAGGCAACAGCACTAACATCGCCAATAAACATCATTAATGTCCCATGAAATTGTTCATTACGCTATCGAGGATGAGAAATAGAAAATAACGCTACGGAAGATATTTATAAATAGATCGAGTTACACGCTACACCGCTTTCATGCTTTGAAATTGAAATAGTAACTTTTTGCTTAAATTTTATTTTATATTTGTTTCAAGTACTGTGAGAAAAACTATTGTTACAATACAATTCATTTACGAGGACATGAAATTAACGCCTTAGTTTTTATCTCATTATTATCCATCCATCACCGCCTATGAAATTCTTTTGATGAACGTAGGTCTAGTAGCCACGCTTAGCGAGCTAGGTAGTGACCGCAGTTTTTAATAATTTTGAGCTTTTATTATGAAAATGCTGCTGCTCATCTCCTGGTTTGATTTATTTAGTTGCCTCTTACGGCACCCACAGGAGGATATTAGGTAGGTAGTGTATATTATTACACCTCCACTACAAGGTTACAAAGACCGTGTAGTGGCAGTGTAAGAATCACATGAGTAGATAAACGGAACAGAGATTCAGCTTCATACAACTGCGTGAATCGGTTGCACTACTAGAAGCACGCGGGGCATGTGCGCACTGGCCGCTTATCGCGCACACGGCGAGAATGGAAAAAACCAGTTACGCTGGCGCAGCCAGTTGACAAATCTCAGGGTCAGTGCGACGCACATTGTTTGTTGCGTTAGTTGCAAGTTTGAATATATTAATGTAAAAACATGGTACTATTAATAATGGTTGTTTATTTTATTGTTTGAATAATCCTAGAAAAGATAAAAATGTATCATACATTAATAATCCCAAGGAGTACAATAGGTTAGTAAATATTTTATTATTACATTTTCAAGCAAGTATCTTTATTTTATTTATTTTGTTAATAAGAAGAGAGTAATTCACGGTGTGTTTTTTAATTCCGTAGTCTCATGCTACCCCTCGGGGTACAGACGTAAGTGTTTATGCTTTATGTATATACATATGTATAATTAAAAACTGTAAAGCTATTCGTCTTAATCCTCAGAGGTGACAACGCATTTGTAGCCTTGTTTGAAGTTGGTTTCAGGTGTCCTTGGACTGCAGTACCACGTACCATAAGGTGGTCTTAAGTTCATATATCACCAATGTTTTTAAATCAACTAACTTTACTTAATGATTTTTTAGATTTATTCGAACACCACACATTGAATAAAACTATACAATATGTAACGTAATTAACGCACACCCTCAGACACCCCAATTAGTATATTATGTTATAATCATAAGTCATAGGTACACTGAATTTTTAGTTAAACATTTTTATGCACTGATTATTTATCAAATTAGTTATACTAATAATAATAAAGCCTTATTGCCTTATGTTACGGGCCATTTCAGTTTGTTTTGACTGTACAGACTTAGTGTGACTATAATTTACGTAGTTTTAATTATTTTTGGGATAAAAATTACCTATATTAAAAGTGATAGGAATCGATTGAGTAAACGATTCTGAACAAACTACTATCTCAAAGTGCGTTAATTATGTTACGTGTTGTATATACGGATTCTATCGCGGTTAATTTACTTATTAAACTTATATTTAATTCCCGACGTCTCATGTGCTTTATAGCACCCGTGATCACCGACTTTTAGTATTTACGGATTATAGAATCACGTTTAATTTTCTTATTTTAACTTATATTTAAAAAAAAACTTTGAAAACCATTTGCAATCAAGAACACGGTTTAAGGTGCAGTGGAATTTAACTGGAAGTTTAAGAAAGTAAGAAGAAAAAGTTCTGCTTGTCTGTCAAGAAATTGAGCATGGTTTCGGCGCCACGTGAACTACAACACTTTTTCTGTTATCATGAGTTTGAGTTTCGTTTAATATATTCAATGAAAAAAAATTCACTGGGCTTATGCTAAATTGTATTAACTGTACAGAGATTATAATATATATTTTGTAAAAGTTATCGATATCATAAATTTAAAAAAAAATATTTAAGTGTTTCCTACCTAATCTATCAATTATACTGAATTTAAAATCTGAGTCAGCTTTTTCCTCGTCACCACTAGCGACGATTTTCTGAGTCACTTTTACCAGTATTAGCACGAATACAGTCTTTGATATTTTACGATAGATGTCACTAAAAGGATGATTTTGTAACATTTTTAACGGTATTGAAGCTATCGTGCAATATATAGTGTTAAATCTTTAATAACCTGGCTTATGTTACAATCCATAAAACTGTACAATTGAGATTTGTATACATATTGCAAAACATTGATATTATCATAAAATTTAAAAATTTATTTGAAATAACTGTCATCTATCAGCGATTTGGGGAACTAATATATTTTCACTACCGACATTTATTTAAAATGGTACAGAGTTTTCGAAACTGAATCTTGAGTTGCGAAGTTGCTACGTTGCCATCTAGTGAAAAATTGTGGAATTTTTTGTCAGTAATATAGAGTGTGGTGATTTACGATAGAGGGCAATAAAAGTACGATTTTCAAAATTTTGGAAAGTGACATTGCAATTAGCGTGCGATATTAAGGAATCTCGTTAACGTGGATTTAATGTACATATCTTCTGAGCTATTCTGAATATATCTGTTAAAGTCTGGCCGCTCAGAGAATGCGATCCTGACAGATCGAGATCGAACGGGCGTATATATATATATATATATATATATATATATATATATATATATATATATATATATATATATATATATATATATATATATATATATTAATTCATCATTCCAATTAGACAATTAGACCATTATGTTAAGTACATTGTTGTATGTTACTTTTACAATGATTAAAAAGTTAAATAATGAAGAAACCGATGTTATTTACAATGTTTAACGTTTATATTTCTAATCCATATTACCCTGTTACAAGGATAGTTCAACCGTAAGTTTCTGTAGTGGTGCACCAAAAATAACGGGCAACAGTAACGTTGCTTATCATATTTCTAAGTGACGCCCCAAAATTGACGGGCAATAGTAACGTTGCCTGACATATTTTAATACATATTAGTTTTTATTTCTAATAATTTAAAAACATATCATCACAAGATAAATGAAAAAAAATATCTCGGTTCAATTTTTTGATAGGGGTTGGTAACACTGGTGACGGGCCGGCATTTTGTAATGCTAAAAGTTCTCCGTATGGAGTGTATAAGTAAAGAGTACCAACTACCATAGTAGAATAGTTGAAAAAGTGGTCATCTGTAAGCAGTAAATAACTGCTCAAAAACTCTCCACAACAGCGCTGTAGAAGCTACTGGGATGAAATGAACTTAGCAGTTGTCGCCAGTTTAAGTGTGCTGCTAAACAGATCAGTAGCTCTAAAATCTAAAATAATTTTATTTAGTAAATATAACCTCGAAAAAGTCGTCCATCCCACTAATATTTTTCGGTGCGTTCTTTAAAATTTACCCCGTAGCTATAGTGGCGCCACCCTTATTTAAAGGTGTTTATGGACACTTTTTAATACACAGTCTGTACTCCTTACTTCTACACTCCATAGTTCTCTGTATGGAGCATGAATTTTATTTCTCTAACCTTCATGGTATGGAATGTAAAGGTAAGGAGTACAGACTCTGTATAAAAAAATGTCCGTACTTAATTTTACGTAACTTTTTATTTTTTTTTTTATTGTACACACTTTCACCATAATTCTTTTTACAATAATTATTTTTATTATTTTGTATTATATTAGAATTTTTATTTTCAAAATTACTCTCAACGTATTTTACGGTCATTTAACATACCCCGTAGCTACTCGAGCGCTGTTGTGGAGAGTTTTTAAACTGTTATTTACTGCTTACAGATGGACACTTTTTCAACTATTCTCCTATGGGAGTTGGTACTCCTTACTTCTACACTCCATACTTATGATTGGAACTTATGATTGGAACTCTATGATTGGAACTCTATGATTGGAAGCTAGTATAATCGGGAGTAGATACGCCACTGAGGTTTTAAACCAGCTTCAGGTGTATACAAAAAGTACTCTGTGCTTTTAAAATTTTGTTAAATACAAGTCAGCTCCTGAAGATGGCGCTGATTATTTACATGGTCACCCACTAGAGGGCATAACTATATAGTATCTAATTTATTCATTTAACTAAACTGTATTTAAGTGGGAATATTGAAGAAAAAGTTAAGCCTGTAATAAAATAAGAAGCTGTTATTTATTATCAGTTTTACAATAGGTATGGGCTTGTAATTTTACCAAGTCGTCGTCGTCAGAACACATTATTTTTCCTTTCAATATACAATTTACATTTGTACACCAACTATTTATAAGTAACCATATTATATTATGATTATTAATGAAAAAAATCAAATCATTTTTATGTAGCGGAGGTAGGGGAGGGACGGGCAGTCGGGATACATGGGCACCCCCCTTTTATTCTGGTCCGGTCGCAGATTTTATTTTTTCCCTACTTTGATAGTTTACTTTACCGACTGGCAACACTGTTCATCCATAGACTATCTGTAATTTCTGTCAGTTGTCAAACACAGACACGTTTGAAGGTTATGCGCTCGTAAAAGTAAATATTTTGTTGTGGTTTCGGATTGTGATAAAGAGAAAACGAACGAAAGGTATGTCTATTTTTCATTGTAGGTATATCTATTGTATATTTACGAACCTATAAATAAAACTGAAATTCATGCTTAAATAGCTTAATAAAAAAAATACCGATCCCTTATGTTGAAAATGTATACGGAGGGAGTAATGGGCAGGAGTCTGATGTGAGGGAGGTTTGGGCATGCCCAATGCTCCCTCCTTTAAGTCTAGTATGGCAGGATTTTTAAAAATTCGAATTAATTGCTTTAATTAAACTATTTGAATTACATTTAATTACAGAAAGATGCCATTTAAATTCAAAAAGAAATGTCTGCGACGGCAAATTCCTAAAGATGTGATATTACGAGCCATAGAAGAGATTTCAAAAGGATCAAAAATAAAAACAACGGCTGATAAATATAAAATTCCTAGATCAAGTATGCAACGTTACCATAAACAAGATTCTATAAAGGATTCTTCGCATAGATTTATAACCTCACAAATTTTCACCGACGAAGAAGAACAAAAATTATCAAATTGCATAATAGTTTGTTCTAAACATCATTATGGATTTACAAAGATACAAGCACGTAAATTGACCTATGACTATGCTGTAGCCATAAAGAAAACTAATATTCCTGATAACTGGATCAAGAACAAAATCGCATCTAAGGACTGGATAAGGGGATTTTTAAATAGGCAATCTCACTTATCAATACGGACACCAGAAGCAACATCATTGTCATGTGCAACAAGTTTTAACAAAACAAATGTTGATAATATTTTTGAAAATTTAGAAACGGTTTTTGAGCGACATCAGTTTGGTCCTGAAGCTATATATAACATAGATGAAACAGGATTGACAACTGTTCAGCGCACACAAAGAGTTATGGCTTCAAAAGGCTCGAAACAAGTTGGACAAGCAACATCTGCAGAGAGAGGCTCACTTGTCACAGTTTGCTGTGAAATCAATGCTATTGGAAACTCAATACCTCCATATTTCTTATTCCCAAGAGTAAATTTTAAACCATACATGCTTCATGATGCCCCCATTGGGTCAGATGGCTCAACACATCCGTCTGGATGGATGACATCTTCAAATTTCATTAAATATATGCATCATTTTGAGAAACATGCAAAACCGACACCTGAAAATCTAGTGTTGTTGCTCCTAGATAATCATGAAAGCCATATATCTGTGGAAGTCTTAGACTTTTGTAAAGAAATTGGCATTGTTCTGATGACCTTTTCACCACACTGTAGCCACAAACTACAGCCACTTGACTTAACAGTGAGTATGGACCACTAAAAAATTACTACAATAAAGCTTTAACAGATTGGATGGTCAGCAATCCTGGAAAAACTGTAATAATCTATGATATCCCCAAACTAGCAGCCATTGCTATACCTCTAGCTTTCAAACCATAAAACATACAAAAAGGATTTGAAAAACCTGGGATATGGCCTTTCAATTCAAATATATTCTCGAATGAAGATTTTCTTTGCTTTTCTGTCACGGATCGCGATGCACCCGTAACTGATGAAACGTTATCATCCAGATATGACCCTATAATCCAGCCAACTTCAACTCAAGTCATTCCAGAACAGCCTGAAAGAGAAAATCAAAATGAAGCAGATCCTGTTAATTTGAACAACATTGCTGTCGCTAATTCTTCCTCATCATTTGCTACAGATCAAATAACAATTGAAGTCGCTGAAGTTGTAACCCCTGAAATAATAAGACCATACCCAAAGGCTTGCCCAAGAAAATTGATTAAAGATGCAAGGAAGAAAGCAAAAACAAGAATATTGACAGACACACCTGAAAAAAGACTAATAGAATTAACAGAACAAGAAAAACAAAGCAAGAACAAGGCTAAGAAATAAAGGCAGGAAAAAAGGTTCTCAAAAACACAGGGAAAAAACAGATTCCTAAACTTCCATCAGAACTAACAGCGAATAGAGTAAAGAAGGGGCAAATGAGCAGTAGTGATAGCGACATAGAAAATGTTTCACTCACTGATAGTTCTGAGGGAGTTGACGAATTCATTTTCATTTTCATTCATCTCGCCTTGACCAATTCGTTCGGGGAGATAACACTGCGACAGTCTTCCAAAAGTGTCCCAGTCGATAGATATTGGCACCGACGTAACCAATCCACTTCCTCACAAGTACCAATCAGTGTGCCTTTTTCTATAATCTGTGCCCGGTCGCAAAGGTTCAGCACACGTACTCCTGAGATGTCAGTGGTCCTGACCAAGGTTCGAGCTACTTTCCATGGAAGGTCATTGTTTACCCTTTCCACAAGTACACAACGGTGAGCTTGCCCAGCGTTTCGAGGAAGACTAACCGGAACAATCGTTTCCGATCTCGGCGGAAGAACACTCTTCTTAATGCTGTACACGTTCCCTGGTAACGCACCTTCCATAAAAAGTTCCTCCTGTCCACATTTCAAAACACCTTGCTTAACGTCGATCTCACAACAATTATTCCTCATAAAGTCTAGGCCTAAGATGCAGTCGTCCATTATATCAGCCTCGATGACATCATGCAGGTAGATCAAGTTGCCTAGCTTCAACTCCATCTCCTTCTCTCCACGGACGGGTATACGCTGACCGGTTGCTGTTACCAAATTAATGCGTTCTCGGTTGTATGCGGAGTCCCCAATGAACTGACTTATAAGTTGGGAACTAACAACCGTACAAGAGGCTCCAGTGTCTATGGTCAGTTTACACGGCATTCCGTTGACCTCACCCTTGATGATTAGACTGTTCCCATCATGGGTTTGTGAGATCGAGATCCTTGGGGCTCTTTTAACATCAGCCAGCACCCGCCCCGCAGTTCTGGCTTTTACTCGTTTCCCTGCTGCTGCTGGGCGCTGCTGTTGGCCGCACTACCCTCCTGAGATCTTTCAACTTCCCTTTCTAGGGTTCGCTTAGGGCAGCTGGATCGAAGATGGCCCTTTCCCCACAGCCATAGCACCTAGGGCTGTATTCTCAGTTGCGGTCGCGAACTGTAGCTGCTGCAACCTCCCTGACGCGATGGGAACGATGATCCTGCCGCACGGCTTCCACCTCCAGTACATGGGCCAAGGCGTTCTTAAGCGTCTCGTGATGCCCGAGCCTTACAGCAGCTCTGACTTCCAGGTCGCGGATGCCGTCGATGAATGTCTGCACCAGGTTCCCTTCAATGAGCGCAGGTACAGACCGGTATGCTTTCCGCACCAGCTTCTCCACCTCTAGAGCCCACTGCTGTAGGTTTTCGTTGATGCGCTGCACGCGATCTTTAAGCTGCGCACGAAAGACATGTTCCAGGTGAGCGTCGCCATATCTCGCCTCCAATGCCTCAAGGAGTTGCTCATAAGTCACTTCCTCCCCGAGAGCTTCCAGAACTGTTAAGGTCTGGTCGCACAGACCTAGTGTGAGAGCAGTCATGGCTTGACTTATTCCAGCCGTTCGCCTTCATAACAGCCTCGAACTGGATTTTGTAGGCTGACCAGGAAGAAGTCCCGTCGAACGGTGGCACTTTGAACCCACGTAGCGAAGGTGTAGTAGCTACTACGGGAGCTGTAGTTCCATCACCCAGTTTGAGGTCGTCCAGCGTTTTCTTCACGTCAGCCACCACGTAATCAACCCGATTGTTTACTTGGTCGATTCGGGTTTCAGCTTTCTCGATTCGGTTTTCAGCTTTCGCGATTTGGGTTTCAGCTTCCGACAGGCGGTTGTCATGCTGAGCAACCCTATCCTTCACCTCCTTTATCTCCTTCCCGAAGGTAGCGTGAAGGTCCTTCATGAGGAGCATCTGCTCTTCCAACCGACGGGCCTGTTCCTCTTGTCCGCCCCGCAGCTGCTCTTCCAATCGGCGTGCCTGTTCCGCCTGCTGGCGAGCCTGTTCCTGTAGCATCGCCATCAGAGCACCTAAGTGCTGCAGATGCAGGAGCTACTGACGGGCCCGCAGCCTCCGTGGCTGGCATTTGGCCCTCCGACGTCTGCGGCGTTGCACCACCAAATCTCCTCTGGTCCGTCTCCTGCTGGCGTTGACTTCAGGTACGGACACCCTCCATTTCCTCCTTAGGTAAAATCGGCATGATTTTATCCCACTTCTGACACCAATTGTTACGAGCTTGAGGTTCGTGACAATAAAAATTGCCGATAAAATTACCTAAATTAATACTTTAATTTACTTTACACAAATTAAAACTTAAAACACTAATAATCAAACGCACTAATTCACTTAATTCCGCTCCGAAGCTTCGCTCGTATCGCCAATTCAATACTACCACGATCGCATCTTGCAGCGCCTATTTATTTAAATTAGCAAAGAAGCATCTGGAATATTCAAGTAAATGCGTGCAAAGGGACGAGTGTGCGAGTGTAGATTTTCTAGAAACTTAGTTCTTCGGATGGCGCTGTCGGTTGAGATATTTGTGATGTCATTTTCTGCAAAGCTCCCCTCGCTGACACTAGATGGCGCTAGTTGACTTATTTATGCAACAATAACATACCCGCTTAGTTTTTATTTTAATTACCTATATTAACTATATTAACGAGGTCTTGTCAAGACGAGTTATAAAAACGAAGCTGATGTCAAAATGTCTTACACAGTACATTGCTAGAGGCCATTTTGAAACTGGTAATAATCACCTCTTTCTCCGTACCCGTTTCGTTTCGAAATGGCCTCTACCAATGTACCTACTCTGTGACACATTTCGACATCAGCTTCGTTTTTTTATGCCCGTCTTTAAAAGGCCTCATTTACATATTATTTCGCGAGTTGCGGATAAAAAACAACGTTACTAACGTAACCGTTATCTTATCGTTGTTAACGATATCGTTAGGATAAAGATAACGTTATTTTTTCCCATAACTAGTTTTCCCAAAAAGTCAGGTATCGTGATCGTATTCTCGGAGCTGCCAGATTTTAATCTGTAAAAATTCACGACTTCATAACTATTACGGATTTACATCCAATTTATTACTTTTACGCCATTTGGCGCTTAGTTTACGTAACACTGTCACCACTGAACTCTATTTCTCTTTACTGGAGGCGGAGGTCGTGTTAACATTTTTTTAATTATTAATAGAATTCAGCATTACTTTGCGGTAACTCGTTATTTTTATTTATTTTTTTTAAAAAAAAGGCGGCAAATGAGCATGCGGCTCACCTGATGGTAAAAGACTACCACCGCCCATGAACGACCGCAACACCAGGGGAATTGCAGGTGCGTTGTAGGCCTTTTAGAAAGTAGTAAGTTTTTTTCTTGATGGTGCCATATTTACGGATTTATCTACATTTGTAGGGGACATTTACTTGTATAAAAAGGTGATGATATCTTATATTGACGCGAATAATACAAGTGGTATAAAACTTATTTTACGGAATTTATAGCGCTTAATTTAAACTTTTAATTCTCAACGTATCTGGCACTTTACAGCACCCATGGTAACGATGAGAACAGATGAGTTTGAAGTACTGATGTCATAGTTAACGAAGGCTTCATTCAATTTTCCAGTATTAATTTTGGTCCCTTTCAAGCACAATGAACTTACAGTACTGTCTTCTTAATTTTTTATTTGCAATTTCAACGATTATTTTTCTACCACACAAGATTGATTTACATTTTTGATAGCCATTCAATACTACTAAAAGAAAAGGGGACTTGTATAAAAATTCATTCTATTAAGGTTCTTGTAGAACACACGAACTTTAAATGTATATAGCAAAGTCTAACTGCAACGTCTCCTACGTCCCCAACACCAGCGTGAAACAACTAGATACCCTTTATACCTGTAACGAGGCATTTCATCATTGTCCTCGGGGTCAAATCAAATCAAAAACAACACATATGCACTTTCATTCTTAACCGAGGATGGATACAGATGTCTATGGACTACAACGTACACTAACCATCAGATGAAGTGTGGGATCGCTTATCACCCATTTTTTTTATAGCCTTCACACTTAATTTTGATAAGATTTGTGGCTTCAACTTCCAAAAAAGCCTAAAAGCATTTGATTGCGCTAGGTACCAGTGTTCTGTGTGTGTTTTAAATTTTAATTGCGATAAATATGAACTTAAATCGATAAAAACCTTCTAATTCGTAGAACATTGGTGCGGTATTATGGCAGCAGCATACGTGGTAAAAACTAAATGCTAGACATGGGCATATCTCGTAGTAGGAAGAATTCGTTTTAAAAATTACGCTTGGCAGATGGATTTACGACCGCAATATCAAATCTTGCACGCGATCTTTAAGAGGGCATATGCGTTTCGCGTCGAAAACTACATGTTTTATGGTTTTTCCAAAGGCGATATCGTAACGACGTGAGGAGATTATTTGCTGAAAATTAGGGCTTTAGAAAGATGAAGTCTTTATTTAGTACAAAGCAGTGCAAAATCATAGTTTTTAATGACGGTTTTTTAGGGCGAAGACAATCCCTTCACTGTGTTTTACGAAAATATGCATCAGAGTTATCTTTCAGGTTGAATACAACCATTATTATAAGCTAAAATACTTTATTTTAAGCGTTATTATAATGGATTATATAGTCTTTTAGTGTATAGCAAAACCTAAATTACGAAAATATTTCGATTTAATATTATAAAATAATATTATAAAATCACCAAAACTGTCTACTTCAATGTAATTTTTTCCATGTATTTGCTTATAAACATATCTATTTTAATTATTTTATCAAAATACATGTAATGTTAAATATCCAAAAAAAAATTTAGCTTGTTTTATTTTGTCAATTATTCTATATAATTATTTTAATAATACTATAAAACATCATGCGGAGACGCCGTTCAAATTCAATTCAGTACGCTCCGGGTAATCCCAACGATAGGACGTATTACTTTTTCTCACCGACACCGCGCGATCGCG